CGTATCTTCAACAACGCTTCCAAAGTCCATCGGCTCGCCATACCGCGCCGAGAGGGACCCGCAGAAGATCCCAACAGGAAGCGGATGATTGTTGCCGGCACGCTATATACCTTGAAGGGCGGGCAGTTCTTCTACCTTCTTCAATCGGACGATGGCGATGTTTTCAAGGTCACCTTTGACACTCAAGGCGGCAATGTTGATCGCATCAAGATCAAGTACTTTGACACTCTACCGGTTGCCATGAGCATCTGCATTCTGAAGGCCGGTTTTGTCTTCTGCGCCTGCGAATCAGGAGACCGCATCTTATACGAACTGGAGTCCTTGGGTGAAGAGACGGATGACCCAGAGTACGACAGCACCCAGTTTCCAGTCGATCCCACCAAAAGCTTCAGCGCCCCCTTCTTCAAACCGAGGCCTCTGAAAAACTTGGTTCCCGTCGAGGTGCTTCCGAGCATGAACCCTATCATGGACATGGAAGTGTCCAACTATGCCGAGGAGGACGCTCCGCAAATCTATACCGTTTCAGGATCAGGCGCACGCAGTACCTTTAGAACGACACGCAACGCTTTGGAAGTACTGGACCTTGTCGAATCCCCGTTGCCTCAGCAGGCTGTGAGTGTTTGGACAACGAAGATGCTCGTCACGGATGAGTTCGATGCACTGATTGTCCTCTGTATGCTGGCGAGTACCTTGATTCTGAAGGTGGGCGAGGATGTCACCCAGGCCTTCAACACCGGTTTTCTGGAGGACACCACCACTCTTGGTGTCCAGCAATTCGGGGAGGACTGTATCATACAGATACATCCCAGGGGAATCCGTCATATCCGACAGCTCCAATTCCCCAATGACGACGAAGCGGGCACAACCCAGGATCTGACAGATTGGCACGCACCTGTTCATCGCACCGTGGTTTCTTATGCATCCAACAACCGTCAACTTGCGATCGCATTGAGCTCTGGCGACATCCTCTACTTTGAGTGTGATGCCGATGGTTCGTTGGCAAAGGCCGAAGACGAAGTGTCCATTGGGCAGAACGTGACCTGCATCGCCATTGCAGACGTTCCCGAAGGCTATGTGCGCAGCCGTTGGATGGCGGTTGGTACGAGCGATCAGATGATAAGACTTTATGATCTGTCCCCGGAGAGCGATCAGTTCTTGCAATGCGTTTCGGTTCAACAGCTGACGGCTGTGCCCTCCGCGTTGACAATTTGCCAAATGAAAGATAACACACAAGCCGGTTCTAGTCAGTACCTGCATATTGGGCTCCGGTCCGGTGTGTACATTCGCTCTGTGCTTGAGGAGTACAGTGGCGAGCTTGCTGATACCCGTCGGCGGTTCCTTGGGCCTGCGGCCGTCAAATTCGCCAAAGTGAATGCTGCGGGGGAGACAGCTGTGGTTGTCATGACCTCTCGGCCATGGCTCAGTTACGCACACCCTCATACATCGTCATTCTGTACGACCCCTCTTCACTACATACCCTTCGAGTCCGCTTGGAACTTTGAGGGTGCGGCAATCAAGGGAGTCATATGCGTCACAGGAAATGAGCTCAGGTATGTTGATTCGTTCCTTTCCCGCCCAAATGCCATTATGATGAGACTTGGTTCCGAAAACTTTCATGAGGATATAATTTTTATTTTTCCAATTGTTCCTACTGAGATATGGCATCCCTTCTACTCCGCTTCATTTACTGTTTGCGAGGCCAAGGCTGACAGAACCTGTACAGGATATTCAGCTTCAAGGACCTCACTAGTAATACGGTGTCCCAATCGATTCCTTTGCGATATACCCCCAGGAAGCTCGTTGGCTTCCCTGAAAACCGCGTCTATTATGTGGTCGAAAGCGATAACAACACAATAGACGCCGGCACCGTGGAATCACTGAAAAAGAAGGACGGGGAGGACGCAGCGATGAAGACGGAAGAAGGTCCTGAAGAAGACCAACTATCACCCGAACAGTTTGGCCACCCGCGGGCGAACGGATTGTGGGCTTCCTGCATACAGATCGTCGACCCTGTGACCGAACATGCTGTGATCCAAACTATCGAGTTGGACAAAGATCAGTCTGCGGTGAGCGCTGCGTTGGTGCCATTCGAAAGCAAGAACAACGAGTACTTCCTCGCGGTCGGCGTGGCGAACCAGCTGTCCTTCAACCCATATCGTTTCAAATCCGCGTCTATCCGGCTCTACAAGGTCTCTGATGATGGGCGCAAGCTGGAACTCCACCATCAGACAGACACGGACGACGTCCCCCTCGCTCTTCTTGCCTTCAAGGGCAAGTTGCTTGCTGGTGTTGGCAACAATCTTAGTCTCTACGACTGTGGAAAACGAGCATTACTCCGAAAGGCTCACACTGCCAACTGCACGCCCACTCGCATCATCGGTTTGAAGACTCAGGGAAGCCGTGTCATCGTGTCTGACCAATCCCAGTCTATCACATACGTGGTTCACAAGGAGCTGGTGCACCCGAATCGCCTGATTCCGTTTGCCGACGATACAGTGCCCAGGTGGACCACATGTGCGGAAATGGTCGACTACGATACGGTAGCTGGTGGTGACAAGTTCGGTAACTTGTGGATAGTGCGATGCCCTGCAAAGGTCTCGGAAGCCTCGGAAGAGTCCACAGACGGGCAGCATCTTCTTCAAGACAAGAGCTACTTGAATGGCGCGCCCAACCGTGTAGATCTCGTGATGCACTACTTCACAAACGATATACCTGTGGCGATGCAGAAGACTTCTCTCTTGTATGGTGGAGAAAAGGTCCTGTTTTGGGCCGGCCTCCAAGGCAGCCTCGGTGCGGTCATTCCGTTCTCGTCCCGCCGCGAGTTCAAGAAGTTCCAGCAACTCGAATTGGCGCTCCGGAGTTCCAAAGAGCACAAGATGATCTCTGGTAGAGACCACTTGGCGTTCCGTAGCTACTATACTCCGGTCAAAGGAGTCATAGACGGTGATCTCATCGAGACATTTTTGACTCTACCCCGGGATGAGCAACAGGGTATCGTGGCTTCGATGGCACAGACCTATACTGTTGAGAACCTGGAAGATTCCATCTGGAACATGCGGGCCCTCTATGCTTTTTAGGCCGCTGCGTGGGCTGCCCCGGGACTTCACTCTGCACTGTCCCACCTGGGTCTCACTGTGTGTGTAAGTGTACTCGAGGGTCGATTCCCTATCTGTTTGACTGCGATTTGCGCCTCGTGGAGTTGAGGTTCGCCGCCCTATTAGCATCGGTGTTTTTGGAGTTTGGAAAGTTCGATCGACGATACCTCGGAGCCGCATGCCACGTTACAATGCATCTGCATTACATTTTGTCACGTTGTTTTAGAAAGAAGAGTATAATTGAAGAAGTCGACGCCCTCTTCCGTCTCCATGTGATGTCCCCGCGATCACGATTTTTGACCCAAGAAAGGCAACTCTCTCGGCCGTCCATCAAATCCACACGTTGCAAACTGCCACCAGCTCGCATTCCATCTCGCAAATCCCTCCCTCAATACCCAAGTGACCACTCCCGGGATCGGAGGGAAGCTGGCATGCAACCCATTTTCGTATGTAAGATCGTGGTTCAGAAAGAAGACCGGCAGCTGCGTCGTCTTGTTAAGAGTGCCCATAACCTTGTCCCCCTCCGCCTTCCCCAACTTCCGAAGGTCCAGCAAATCCCCGTACTTGGACAACTGCAAGATCGTAGATATCTCATCATTGAGATGAGACGACAACGGTCCGATAAAAGCATCCAACAACCTCACACACTTGTCTCCATCATAAATCTCCCGTCCATTCTTCAACTCCTGCAGCCATTTCCCAAACGCCTCAAACCCGGAATGGAAATCGGCGTGTTGAGAGATATTCGCATCCATGAGGTCCTTTTCACCTGTTATCCGTTCCAACTCTGGGAAGAAGAAGGATTCTTCGCCTTCGTGGTGTGCTTTGAGACCCGTGTATGCGGCGAGCATGTAGTTGATGAAGGGAGTGTGGTGCGAGGGCGGGATGTGGGGTGCTTGGAGGTAGATCGAGTTGAAGGCGCGGATGATGCAGTTGTGGACATTGGACATTTCGGTTGCGGCGAAGGTGAATTGGTCGGGGGTTGGGGTCGGGTTGAGGGAGAGGGGTGTGCGGATTAGGGGGATGGGACGTTGGGCCCAGGTGTAGGAGGTGGTTGTCATGATGGGGAGTTGATTTGTAGGCTCGAATGATAGACGATGTTCAAGCAGTACACGGAGAGAGCTTTAACGTAGGAGGTGGGGACGTGTTGTCGAGGTTCTTTATACACGAGTACAGTATGCACACGCCTTCATCACAGCTCCTCATGATCTGACTCGATTCGGGCAATTCTACGCGCCGACTCCGCTAGAAACGGTCGTTATGTGGTCTGCGCACGGAGAGCGTGAAGCCTTGTCCAAGCCTCCATCAGCGGGGTCGCATTGTATCCCATAACTGAAGCCGAAAGCCACAAGCCTTGTCTCGACAGCCGTTCAGGTCGGCCTCGCCGATTCGAGAAAGGCAGAATGGAAAATACCGATTGGATATTGGCTTGTTCAGCGGGGCTTTGACGCTGGCTTCTTTGTTGTCGGCTCACTGTGCGATCTGACTTGGAACCCAACTGTGGCTGGCACTTCAAGACCCAAAGACCTAGGAGCGAGGCTTCGCCGGGGGAATAAGAAGAGAAGCATGTGCCAAGTTCCAAGGCTGAAGAATGGTTGCCTGAGATGAAGCGTGTTGAGTGTTTGTGTTACCGGATTGGGTATGCAGAACCAGGAGGCGTTGTGGCTCGTGGTTTGTGGCGGTTGAGCTGAGAAAGTTGTGAGCCAATTGGTTGTAATCACTCAACTTAGATTGTAGGGAATGAGTTAGGTCGTTCTGGGCGTAGGAATCGTGTGACTTTGGCATTTCGATGCTGTAGGACCTATAGCGATTTCCCAACAGCCGAGGAGTGTAGTGCACGTATGATATTACCTGTAATTATTAATTTTTACTACAAGACTTATCGTCATCAATCATAGTAACACTTCCGATATGGTCTAGTGGCTAGGATTTGCCGCTCTCATCAAGTTCAGGCTTCTACTTCTGAGTGTCCGGCAAGGCCCGGGTTCGATTCCCGGTGTCGGAATTAGTATTTTTGCTTTTTGTTCACTCCTTGCTTTACCTATCAGACAGCCAAAAGAAGTGATACTTTTTTTTTATCCGAACCTATGTACGTTTCTGTGTCGGAGTCGAGAGCTGAGTAAAATCATAGATAAAGGACGATGGATCAATCATCAGTCTAGACAGGACGTGAGATACTACTTTGGGAGCTTATAAAACGGTAATGCGCAATCAATATCTACACAATGTCCAGCGGGAACTGTCGTCTGCTCTATTGGTCACTGCGTTGATTTATTGGACAGATTGTGTCAAATTGGCAGAATTCACGCAACACTAAAGGCTTATATTCTAAGTTTTATGTAGACCTTGGTGTTTCATAAGGTATATATACCTTTCCATAGCTACCAAGCATGCGTTGAGCAGGCGTGGGAAGTTGTTCACGTACGAAGAACAGTAGTGCCCAAAATGACTTTTGTGGTCCAAGTCAGTCTTCAAGCCCATAGCCTTTTCATTGCAGTGCTCCATTGGCATATACTTTGCTAACCATATCGTCATGTGCGAAACTGCACACTGTCTCCCTTCAAGCAACCTCAATCATTCCCGGACGTCCACGACGCGGTCCCTCTAAACGCATAAGCTTCTTCCCTCGATTTACTTCTTAGCCGCGGCCTTTGCCAGATCTGCCAGAGCCTCGCGACGCTTGAACTTGGCGTCCTCAATGACACCTATGCAGCATTAGCCCAATACAGTTCATACGTTCTCCTCGCACAGTACTCACCTGCATCAGCATCGCTCGAGAAGTTCCCAGTCCACGTCACAAACGTCTGGCCCTCATGCTCGCCCGACGTAACAGGGTAGACGCGGATGGTGCTGACGACGCTGGTGTAGCTCAGGGCGGGCTGCGACGAGATGACCGAGTACGTGATGTAGTGGTCGATAGTCTAACGTACATTAGCATACTCTTTGTCTTTGGGTAGAGGGTAGGCGAGAACATACAGAATGCTCCTCCTGCTTGACTTCAATCGTCGTCCCGTCCTGGAACGTCCACTTGACGATATCCGTCTCGTCGCTGGTTCCCTTGACCCACTCGCTCTTGGACAACTTGCTCCACCAGGAGGAGAAGTCTTGGAGCTTGAGAAGGTGCCAGACGGCGCTGGGGTGGGCATTGATGACGGCGGATTCGCGGACGGAGGTCGAGGTGGGGATGGCGTTGGACATGTTGGATGGTTTGTGTGTGGTTTGAGGGCGTTGGTCTTCAGTGATGAGGTGGAAGCGTGTGTATGTGTAAAGTGAGGTTTTGTTAAAGAAGTGTGTGGAGACGAGAAAAAGGTTACAGTCGTTTGTCGATTGGTTGCGATTGCTGCAGGCGGGGTTGACGTCATGGGGACGCTGCGAATGGGTTGAATGGTTGCAGCTACCCCGCTATCAGCGGCAGCTCTTGCCTTCCTTCCTAGAGCCATGCACGTCGAGCAGGAGAAACCACAGAGTGGTCGGTGTGTAGGATAGGCTTGGAATCGAATTAGTGCGGTACCGCCACTGTCTGACGACCACTCTGTCTGCAAGCAAAGAAAACTACACCAAGGTAAAGACAAAGGCAAGAAGCCAAGGCCAATTCTCCCTCGCAACATCATTCTCAATAATGTCTACATCCTACAGCTTTCGCACGTAGGTCCTGCCTCTCAGTGTTCGACGCGTCACCAAGACTAGAAGATATCCTCCAGCCCTTGATCTTTCCACTCCACCTTCCCCTCGCTCACCTCATTCCTGATCTTCCAGTACTCGTGATTGAATACCCAGTACGGTTCGCCCGTAATCTCGTGCCTACCCTTCGAAAACCACCTAGGCATAAACTCCTCGCCCCTGGCCTCCCTCTCCCTTCTTGTCTTTCTCTGCTTCTCTTCGACACGGTTCTTCTCCTTGGCAGCAAAATCGTACTCGCCATCCTCCATAGCGCGCTGATCCGGCCGCAACCTAGTGTCGGTAGGCGCAACATGCGGACGTAGCGAATCGGGCAACGCGTTCAGCGTGACGACGAACGGTGTAAGATTGAATGGGATACCAGTAGGGCGCTCATGTGCTTGCCAGACGAGGAACGCTTTGTCCTCGTCGTGCTTGCCGTGCTTCGACGCACCCTTTTCGATCTCAACGTCCTCGAAACCAGGGGTGTGTCGCGCGTAGATCTTATCGTTCCAGCGACCACCAATGCTCCATACGACGCGGCCTTCGCGGTCGAGCACCTTACCCACGACTTGATATGCGGAGCTAGCTTTCCAACCGCGGGGTTTGAAGTTGATCTGGCAGACCTCACCCGTGGTCCAGTTCTTAATCTCCATGAGGCCGTAGTTGTCGACCGTGGGGTTGCCCGTGATGATACCGATAACAGAGGACGTCACCTTCCTCCAAGTGTAAAGCTCATCTTTGCCACCCTCGGACGTCGGCCGGAGCCGTAGGAACCATGTACCGAGCGGATTAATGTCGAAAGACTTGCCGTAGAACTTGGAATCTACGTGGGACTCCCCCCAGTAATCCCATTTCTTCGACTCGGCATATGCAGCTCCGATGGGAGGGTGATGGCTAACCTGCTCGATGAAGAAGCGATACCCCAGGTCCGGACGCGCGTACTCGTACGTCTCGCCAAGCAAAGGATTGAAGGGCTTCGCAACACGCCCGATAGTCGAAGCATACTCTGAGGCTGCAAATGCGCCAACGTACAACAGTCTTTCCGTGGAGTCGGCCCGCTCGGCAGCCGTGTCGAGCAAATCCGTGTACTCCATATCCTCAGCGACACGTTGAAGCAGGGAGGTGGGCTCGTTGAACGAAACAGGTAAAGTCATCTTCGTCATGTCCTTGCCGATCATGGATTTCAAGATGCTCTGCAGCGTGTCAGTCTAGCCGGGAACAATCATCGCCTATAATACTCACCCATAAGGAAAGCTTCGGTCGATTGTCGGCATCTAGGGCAAGCCTCTTGCGTGGGCCGTCCTCGTAGCCCTTGAATGCGGTCTTGATCTCTTGATATCTGCTGTCGTAAAGAAGATCTTCCGCGGACTTGTCTGTCGATGGCTCAGGCATCTGGGCAACCTCAACCTCGCCAGCACCGACAGCATCGAAGAATTCCTCGTCGTCTTCAGATCCAGAATCGGATATATCGGCAACGATGTCAGCAAAGGTCGCTTTCCTCCTCAACCCATGGGAAGCGCGTCGTGAGTCAGGCGAAACATAAGAAGACCGCCTTGACTCCGGTTTCGCGGACGACGGGACAGCGTCCTCTTCAGCGTCGGCGAATTCGTCCTCTGGCGGGTGCTGTCTGTCATCCTCCGTCTTCAGTTCCCCTAGAGCCTCCCGCAATGCCCGTTTCGTCCGTTTGCGCTTAAGCTCCGCCTCGCCGAGCTTATTCTCAAGCTCTTCATGCTCCCTTGCAACCTTTGCCATGCTTTCTTCCCACATGCGACGCACATTCCCCTCCCGCTCCAAACGATACTGCCAGTATGCATCCCGGTCTTTGGATATCCTCAGAAGATCGCCTATCAGCCCTTTGAGGTTGCCAATGGCGCCCTCGTAAGAACTGAGGGCTTGCGCCATAAGAGGGTCGGATATTTGCCGAGTCGGGTTCTTCTCTCTTTCAGCTTGAAGAGCTACTGAAACCTGCGCGAGAAGGTCGAGCTGAACTCTCGCAGATTGAGCGGTGATATTGAAGGCATCCTTGTTCTGCGGCGTCGCATCGCGGCTGCTTGCATCATCCCCGTACTCGTCGTCGTCGTCCAGATCACCTTCAACTGCAGTCGTGCCCATCTGACTAGCGATCCTGCCAAAGTCATTACCCGTCATACTCGGTTCATATGCGCTCTCGGGCCCTTCCATCACGCTTCCACCGGCACGAGAGCCACCATCATGACTTGTTGTGGGAACCCCCAATGAGGTGGATGGAGCCAGATTTCTGGAGCTTGTTATCTTGGAGCTCACACGGCTCAAGGAGTCGTTGTCTCTCGATGTTCGCCCCTTTTCAATCTGCTCGATTCTCGCCTGTTTGAGCACCTCTTGCTCCCGAGAACGCTGCTTCTCCTCTTCTCTAGCCTCATCTTTTGCCCATTGAATGGCGTTGTTAAGGGCCCAGAACCAGCGCTTGGCCTCCACCTGGTGATTCGCCTTCAGATGGTACTTGACGGATGATTTGCCCTGGATCTCGAATCGTAGTTTGTCTTGGGGATCCATGAATAGTTTCGCGATCCTCATATTGATGGCACCACGGCATGCCGAGCCCGTATCATCTGCAAGCGTGAGCGCCCAGTCTCAATTGGATGTGCATATCCCGTACCTTGATGTTTGTAGTAACTGAGCACACCATCCTCAAGGACAAACCACCTGAGTTTGTACCCGCTCGTATAGTTTGTCCACTTCTTAAGATAGCCTTTCATCTCTCGTGACTCTTTGGCGCCCACACTGGTTTCCCCAGATGCCGACCCTGTCTGTGATGCAGCGCCAGCGAGAATCGTCTTTTCCTGAATCCCTCTTTGCGCCGCGGCTGCAGCAGGTGATCGCTTGAGGATTGCACGAGTACGGTCGTCTTTGGTATAGTCTTGCGGCAGTTTCCCTTTGCGGTCCCTACGGAATGGATCCGCTCCGTTGAGTAGAAGGATCTGGGCCAGCTTCACGTCTCTGCGCTTCGCCGCCTCGTGGAGCAGGGTACCGCCCGCATCGACCACAGCAAGATCTGTAGCCAATTCGCCGCCATTGACGTCCAGCGTACTCCTCACGCGAGGATCCTGGAGTATCTTCTCAAGTCCTTCCATGTCCTGAGCGGCTACCAGCTGGTGCAGCTTCTTGACGTTAGACTCGATGAATATGGAGCGTGCGAGCTGCAGCTGCTGGAAGATATCTGGAGTTCGGGCAAGGTCCAATGGCGTCTGGCCGTTGTAGTTGGTGATGGAGTCATTGATGTTCGGTTGGTCGAGAAGCATGCGCACTACCTGCGCTCGCCCAAGGGTGGCTGCAAGATGTAGGGGAGTATTGCCATCTCGGTCGCGG